CATTACAATTATTACAGAAGGAGAAATTAAAAAATCTTAGAATATTTCAGAATTTATGTATATGAAAATTTTTAGTAAAAATACAGATTGTCTCGCCACTGCTGAAGAATACAATTTGAAAAAATCCAATTGTTCCAATTTGTATGAAAAATAAGAAATTTTCTAAAAAGTTAAAAATTATTTAGAAATTTTAAAATTTATATAAATATTCTAAAGAATTCTGAGAAAAATTTTCCCTACGGGAAAGAATGATTTTATGAATCCTTTTATCCGCGTAAATCCCTATTTCATTGATTAGTGTGACAAAAGCAGAAGAAGAACAAGCTAAGCGACGAAGAAAGAAAATTGCTGTTGTTCCTATATCGGAATTTTATGCTCCACACGCGTATTTGATTTTGTGCTTTCGGGAAATGTTGAATGACAGCGAAAAGGTGGATCGACCAGAACTATATAAATTCTTTGACAACTGGATATCAAGAGGAGTGTCTCATATTTGTTCCAATTGTAGATCAGATTTCGGAAGAATTATCTAAGAAAAGTCACGCCGGATGAGCCAGACATCATCATCCTGCAGGACATCAAGGACCTCGTGTTCTTCCTGCTCGTGACATCTGTCAGCCCGCAGTTCATAAACTTCTTTCACTTGCCGATCGCAGACCGATTTTTGAGAGCACTTATCATCTACTTCCAACGCTTCGTGCAGATATGGGAGAACCTGGAACAAGAACGAGCGGCCACTATGAGGAAGGCGCCTAATCCATTGGCGCTTGGACATAGATCTCAATATGCCAAGGAAATGCATACTCTACGTTGTGTCCTGGGCAGGGAGTACGCGGACTTGCTGATGGGCTGCCAAGATGGGCCTCGCTATCACCACATGATAACCAGCACGAAACGCACGGCCACGCAATCTCAGGGCGAGAAAGACCTGCGAATCTACGAAGCATTGATAAGTGTGGCTCATAGGGTCGTATGGATAGCATTACAGCGGAAACATTTCACTCTGATCGGTACGTCAAAAAGCATATAATGTTCTAAATAAACATTGTATGTCATTTTACGATGATATACAAAGAGAATACCA